TATCTATCTATCTATCTATCTATCTATCTATCTATCTATCTATCTATCCATCCATCCATCCATCCATCCATCCATCCATCCATCCATCCATCCATCCATCTCATGATTAGTTACAATGGGATGACTTCCTCACCTCCAGATACCATTAAGACTCGAAACTGTGCTTGGTGGATAGGGAATGATGGAGTTGCTCTCCTATCCACCTAAGAAGGTACAGAGGTGAAATGAGGCTTAAATTACCAAGATTGCAACAATCTACCGTATATACTTCGGTCACTTTAATTTGGAACCGAAAGGCTTATCACCATGCTCTAAGACCCAGCACTTCCTGAGAACTACACTGAAAATCTTTCATAGCTTCTCGATTTGAAACCCTTTTTTTTTTTTTTTTTTGAATCAAGGCTTGATTGCGCTGCGAGCGTTCCTATAGGAACCGTGCCGTATTTCTGCGGTTGCCTGGACACATGAAGCAACGAATACGCATGCGCCGCAAGTCCTTCTTCCGCCAGTCTAGGCAAGCGCCGATTCTCCCTTTTGATCGGTCTAAGCGCCGTTTCTCTATGGTCTGCAGAGATCATAGTTTCGCGTCAAGGCGAGAGTGGCTGCGACGCGCGGAAGTTAATCATGGCGGCGGTCGATATAAGAGGTATTGGAGGGGAACAGCGTGGGGTAGTTGTGGTTGCCCACTACTTAGGTGTAAATAGGGGCGATCCCTACGGAACTGGGAGGACCAGCTTGTTTGCTTAGTTACTTATCTATTTTATTTATTATATGTATTTTTCCAAAGCACGTTCTCCTGGGCTATTTATTGTCCGCTTCCAGCAGAGGCATGAAGTGTTTTCATGAACCGCGTCGACACGGAAAGCTTAAATCTGTTTTAAAGCATAGAAGAGCCAGGGTAGCTTCTGGACCGGAAAACCTTAAGATGTTCAAATCCGTTCAGATTTCTTTCCGATTTCAAATTAATCTCTAGCATTTGAGAGGGGGAGACACCATAGTAATTAGTCGTGCAGTCTGACTAATATTGGCCAGCAAAATTATACAAACAAATCCTGTTATGCTAGTTTTCTTAACAAATGACATGTTGGCTTGGTTTGTTGAGTGCAGTGTAGATATTGTATTTAAATTTTCTAGTCTGTGGAAATTAGATAAAGATGCGCATGAATCAAAATGAGAAGGCCAGACTATATAATACTTTAATCATTTAAATGTTCATGCTTTGAAGTGTTGGGTTCAGTTTCAAGGAGCTACTTGGATGGGTGAGACAGTTACACAGCAGATATATAGTCTTAGAGCAGCAACTATTTAATTTTTTTAAAGCTTGTTAGATGTTAATGAAACACGGATACTGTAGTTGTATTGTCATACTATTTATATACTATTAAATTTCTCCTGAATAATCAATTTGGTTGAAGTTTTTCTAGCATTGCAAAATGTTGTGTAATGGCCAATTAAATAATTAGTTAACTTTTTGGATAAACATCTTTTATATCATGTTTAATTTTTATCAAACCAATATGCATGAAACTGATAGGGATAAATTGTTATAACTTTAGGAAGATTTAAGATTTTAGGTATTATTTAGTTTATGTTTATATATTGTCAGACAGTAATGAATTCAAGGATAATATGTGCAGGTGCCTTTAACATGTTACATTTGTAGAGTATTTCTATATTTTCTGGTTAGATGACCATTTTAAAGCAGCTACTGAGCTAATTTTCTTACAGATAATCTTCTGGGAATTTCCTGGGTTGATAGTTCATGGATTCCAATATTAAACAGTGGGTGTGTATTGGACTATTTCTCAGAGCGCAGTAATCCATTCTATGATCGAACATGCAACAATGAAATGGTTAAAATGCAAAGGCTAACCTTGGACCACTTGAAGTAAGTTGATGTAGTATTATTAGTTTTTTAGCTTTCAGGAAGAAATAATATATCAACTAAGATGTTAGGAAAAGAAATATGCGGTATAATGCAGAGACTCCTCAAGTTACATCCATTTGTTCAATAACTGTTCAGGATTATGATGTGGCCTTGTGACATTATGCTTTATGATGCATTGCTTGGCAATGCAATTCCGGTTCCAATTGCTGTTGTAAGTTACAGATTTTTCTTTTACGAAAGAATAAACCAAAGATTTTGAAAGTTCACCTATTAAAATAAAATGGGATGTGTAATTATAATTTAAATACAAACTAAACAGATGAGTGAAGCTTATTTTGTTTATCAATTGAATCAGTGAATAGGATGAATGATTAAAATGCAGTTAATTTAACAAGCTCATTTTAAATCAAACAAAAGAAGTTATTAAGTGTTTTTTTTTAAAATCAGTAGTTTTAAATCAATATTTTAAATCAATATTTTTTTAAAAATATATCTACCTTAAATCTATAAAGCAGATATGAAGGATATAGAACAGATCTGTCAAACTGGTGGCCTGCGGGCCGGATACAACCCACGCAGGCCACGCCCATCCCAACTCCGCAAAAGCAAAAAACATCCCGCTACGTCACGATACGGCCCGATTGGGTTTGACACCCTTGATAAAGAATATTCATTCCACTGCTAAACAAAAACAAAAAACAACCCGCCCCCCAAGCTTCTGAAACTTTAGTAGCCATAAATTAGAGGACAAATCATTAAGCCATATTATGCCAAATCACCGGCTCAAGGTTGACTCAGCCTTCCACCCTTCCAAGATCGGTAAAATGAGGACTGAAAATTGTTGGGGGCAATATGCTGACTCTGTAAACTGTTTAGGGCTGTAAAAAAGTCTTAAGTGCTATTGCTATTTAGAATGGGGATTAATTTCTTTATTGGGCGAGATTCCAGAGTGCTGTTAGATGGAGCCTTTCTTCAGATGTATTGTTTACTAATTCTTTGCAGTAGATCTGCTTATCTAACCCTCTTGTGTCTCTTTGTGACTGTGGAATGAGGAGAGTCTTTAATGATTGCCACACTATGAAATTTTGACTATTGCATTTCTACTGGAAACTATAAATAAAGGGATGACTAAGAAAAAACATTTCTGTGTGGCTAAAACTTAACATATACTATTCCTTTTTTGCGTTGGAAAGGCTGCTTTCTGGACTCCCCCATTTTCTCAGTACATTCTTAAACTTCTTAATTGAGGGTTGGTTTTTTCCTCCATTTTTCCAGTCATACTTGAGATTTCTGAATAGCATTACGGTTTCTGTTTCCTGATATTAAAGATTAATGCCAGTAATTTAAATCAATATGCTTTTAAATCACTGTCTTTCACCTATTTTATGTACTGGGGGTGGGTGGGAAGAAGACCAGCAGTTGGTAAATTTATAAAAGATGTATTAATATAAATCCCCACTCTTTATCAAGAGCTATTTGGGGCGGGGGGAGAGAAATTACCACTTGATTTCTAAATCACCTGTTTTCAAAAAGGGACCGTTCTTTTTCCTCTATACTAAGATAGCTTATAGTTTCAGTGTTTATAGCGTCTATGATTGTTTTCTGTCTCTAGATTTAGCTCTGTCCTTTTATCTTTCAGTCAAATGGTTGGAGTAGAATATATTCTTCTCCATGCACAAGAGCCAATCCTCTTTATCATCCGTAAGCAGCAAAGACAGAACCCAACCCAAGGTAAGGATGTAGACAGGTGTCCTATTTAGAATGTAGAGCGTAACCTATGACCAGCCTTTCCCTATCTTCATGTTCTTCAGACAGACCAATTCCAAGATTTTTTTTTTATGTGGCTGGAGAATTTGGGGAGCTGAAATCCAAACATCTAGATGTCTAGGTTGTGGAATCTTGCCATTGACACAGATTTTCTTTGTGCAGCCATACAACTTCCATATAGAGTGGTGGACTATGTGTCCCCTTTCATTTTGCATGGAGCACTGGGTTTTACAGTCACCTAAATTACCTCTTTCAGTACTGTGATTCTGTAAATCTAAACTAACATTGTATGTTATTCTCTAGCCTCATAGCTCTACCTAATTGTTTGTCGGACAAACTGCATAAGTTCTGAGCAAATATAATCTTTTTTTTGAGCAAGGAAGTTCCTCCTTTGGATTAGAAGAAGAAATAGAACCAGAATCAATGCTATTCTTTCTGATAATTTATATTGTTATGTTTTCTTCTTAAATGTTGCTTAAAATAGGGGCTCTGTAAAAGTGTTAGATTTTTATTAACTACTCCTATCTAAGCCAATTTGAAATAATAGTATTTGCTGTGGATGACATGTGGATAGTGTTGGAAGCTGTCTTTGAGGCTAACTTTACTTTTTGCAACAATAAGGGAATGCTCTCCTGTGGTAAAATGCAATATGGGTAACAAAATGAGTTTTGTCTTCAAGCTATTCCTTTTTTGGGACACGCTGATATCTTATTATGGTTAAGATTTTTATCTGACCATGTTTGTTCAATCTTTCTGCATTTTAAATCTCTATCACTGTTGTTTTTGAAGTGCAAGGCCAATTATTTCTGCATCTGATCAGAGGAAGCAGAATTTGGAGTTTTATGTATTACTGTTTTATTACACTGAAGTAATTTAAATACATGCTCATAAAAGTAAATCTACTGATTTACTTTTTAAATATTCCTGAGATCTAGCTTTATTTCAATTTATTTACTGTTTTATGCAATAAATTAAGCAATTCACCTATTATATATCTCAAATGGAATGATTGACAAATGCTATGTTTCTTTTAAAGTTATTCCATTGGCTGATTATTACATTATTGCTGGAGTAATTTATCAGGCACCTGACTTGGGGTCAGTTGTAAACTCAAGAGTGGTAAGTTTCTGTGACACTTGTTTTATTAAACTAAAAGAAATGCCCACAGAAATTTAGTTTGGTTTCTAGTTTTTTGCTTTAATTTAAGCTTTTGAAAGTTATATTTTTCTGAAAAAAATATTTTCTATAAAAATGTAATCACAGGGAGAAAAATGAAAAATTTCAATTATATCAGACTACATACTAATACTGTACGTAAGATAGAACATTCCAGCTGCCAAGATTTAACTTCGGCACTTCTCCCATAAATAGGACACTGTCGCTTAAATCAGGGGTCCCCAACCCCCAGGCTGCAGCCCACTACCGGGCCATGGGTGGTTTGGAACTGGGCTTTGTGAATGACATGCGAATGTGTATGCAACTGCAGCTTCATTCACGTGAGTGGGAGGTGCTTGTGCTTGGACGGGCAGCTCCATTCACACGAACAGTGGGCTTTTGCGAGTGGAGTTTTGCAAGCACCTGTTGCTTCTTCAAGTGGAGTTGTGTGCACAAGTTGCGGGTGCTTGTGCTCACATGCAAAGCTCTACTAGCACGAGTGGCAAATGCTTGCACTTGTGCAAATGGAACTCTGTGTGTGCGCATGCGGCGCATGCCACTCACACAGAACTTCCCCCCCTTCCCCCCATGCTGCGCTGCCAAGCTGGAAAGGTTGGGGAACGTTGGCTTAAATAGTTTTATCAATGGAAGCTATTTGCCTAATCGCAGAAGGTGGAGACATCTTGGGAAGGACGGCTAAAGATGTATGAAATAGATGCAATCTATACTTCTTCTGACTTAATAGGTGGTCTTGCTCAAACTCTCCCTGGGAATATTGGCCTGTTTCACAGGTTACACCTTCGTGTCCTGTCCTTTAAATATTGTCATTTAATGAGGCTGAGGAAGTGAGCTTTTTCTGTAGTAGTGCCCGACCTATGAAACATCATTTACCCTGGGAATTGGCAGGCTCCCATCCTTTTAGCCTTCTGGAAGATTGTGAATGGTTGGCTGGCTGAAGTACTGTACAGAGAGATAAATCTTACAAATTTATATTGTCCAGCTCACAGCAGTACATGGAATCCAGTCAGCTTTTGAGGAAGCTATGTCTTATTGTCGCTATCACCCTTCCAAAGGCTATTGGTGGCATTTCAAAGATCAAGAGGAACGAGGTAAGATATCTGGGACTCCAGATTTAAAAATTTATCCTTCCCTTTTCCTTAGGAATTATGTGATTGGTCTTGGTCTTTATACTTCAGTGAAATTCAGTTAATGTTGCTGTCACTTTATATTTGTAAAACAATAGAATACAGAATGAGTAAAGTATTCCAGGAAATGTTATGGTGTTCTTTACTGCATTTCCCCCCATTTGGTTGCAGTTCTGGGTTTTTTGCACTGTATTTGCCTAGATCATCTAGCAAAACTGTCAGTACATGGGGGAGGGAAGATTTTATTTGGCTGGGTTGTCACAGAGCCTATTTAGATCTGAAAAGAAGTGTCTCTTAAGATCACCCACTGGTTTCTATGCTTAAGATTACTGTAGAATCTGGGCCTCTCTGCTTCTAATCCAATATCTTAAGTACTAAATGACATTGGCTCTTATTACAGAAATAACATATATCAGTATAATATTTCTGTATATGGGGGCAGGTTCTTCCATTAATACTAATTTTTTTAAAATGTATTCTCAGCAACCCAGAGCTGATAAAGCTCTCATTTTCTGCCATCTATTTTTTTTTTCCTGTAGCCATAAGTATATATTGCAATGCAAATTTTTCAAAGCCAAACCTATTTTACCTGAATTGCAGAATACCAAAAATATCCATCTGAGTTTCATTTCTAAATAACTGGAATTAGTTTCCCCTTATGTTTATCAATTATGATATCCAAAAGTTGGCATGCTTTCATTATGATCTCCATAATTTTATTTTCAGATAAAGCCAAACCAAAAACAAAGAAGAAGGAGGAACCAAGCTCTATTTTCCAGAGGCAACGTGTGGATGCATTACTTCTAGATCTGAGGAAAAAGTTTCCCCCTAAGTTTGTTCAGGTAACAGTCAAATAGTAAACTACTGTTTGCTATAATGAGATACTTTGTCAAAACTGTTCAAGACCTGCTCTGAGCTGAGCTCTGGCTTTTCAAGTCATTTGAGTTTGATTGATGTGTAAATTAGCATGAAAAGAGTTTGAGGCTGTTGATCCCAAAGAACTGGATGGGATCTTCAGGCTGTGGAGAAGAGATACCTGTGAGGGAAGGGGGAAAAAACCCAACATTCTTGGATTCAATGATTCTGAAGATTTTTCATCCTGTCTTCAACCTAAAAGAAGTTTGTTGAAAAAACATCCACTTTGCAACACTGAAGGGACCTCAAAGAAATTACTATCTGGTTCCTTTTCAGTCAAACTAGGATATGATATTGAGATAACATTGATTACATTCATAAACGACCTAATAGATGAAGAGCATAGCAGAAGAATATTTATGAGAATTTTAGAGTTGAAAGGAATCTTTAAAGTGATGTTATCTCCTACCCAATTTAGATCCTGTCAGATGATCTAGGGGAATTGGTACTGAGCAGGAAATTAGATGAACCCTAAGGTTCTTTCCAATTCTATAATAATGTGAAACATTTTTTTGCTGTGCCATCCATCCCAGATTATAATGTTTTGAGTAGGCTTCCAGCAATGAGAACTCATCCCTTAATGTAATAGCCTGTTCCACTGGCTGCTAGCTTGTATAATTAGAAAGTTTTGCCTGACATTTATCCTAAACGGACTTCATTGTAATTTTAACTCATTAATTCTGGTCCTGTTTCTTAGGCAATAGAAATTAAATCCATTTTGTAACTAACAACCATTTGTGTGACTTGCAGTGTTAGTCCTGAGTACAGTTATACTAAATAGATTACAACCAACATTTCTTATTCTCCATTTGGGCAATGTTCAGTAATTAAAATGCAGTCTTATATCTATACCAGAAAGACGTGCATTTTTAACTAATGGTTTGGTTTTTCTCTTTGTTCACAGCAAAAATCTGGAGAAAAACCAGTCCCAGGTAAGAATTTAGTCAGTATTTTTAAATGAGACCAAATCCAGCAAATGTATATGATTAATTTTAATGCAGTCTCTTGAAAAGATACCGTATATGCCGGCGTATAAGACGACCCGGCGTATAAGACGACCCCCCAACATTTCCACTCAAAATATAGTTTGTTATATACTCGCCCCCTCTTCTGCACGCCTTCCACTTTTGCACTTTTTTTTTTTTTTGAGGCACTTTTGTCTACCGTGGAAACGAATCCCGTGAAGCTGAAAGGAGCAGCCAGCCTTCTCCCAGCTCCCAAGGAAACGAGGCTTGCACCGCCCGGGCTCCGCTGAGATATCCGGCTGGGGCTGTCAGGAGTTGTTACCGCTGGCGCGGCTCCGCGCGGCTCCAGTCCCGCGTTGCCTCGGGAAGGGAAAGGCAAAAAGGAAGAGT